CAGCACCCCGGCTGCCTGGCTAGCTTATGCCTGAAATAACAACACACAAACTGTATTTATTTAAACACTGCTTGGCCCTTTAGCTCTAGCCCTTACAGGCTAATTCTCACATCCCGATCAACCCATCTCTAATAATCTGTGAGCACCGGTCTTACCGGGAAATATTCAGCATGTCTAACCTGGCGGCTTGCTTCATCGCGTGCGTCCACCCGGGAGAGCGGAGCATGGCATCTCTCTGAGGTGTCTGCTCCCGAGAGGAGAGCTGTGGAGTCTGAGCTCACTTCCTCTTCCTCCCAGTATTCTGTTCTGTTTACTCCTCCCACCTATCTTCTAACCAATGAGGGCCAAGCAGTTTCTTTTTATTTAACCAATGACCTTCCTCCATCAATTGTCAGTTATCTGCTCTGGTCCTGCCATTTGGAGCTTCCTTTCCCATCCTTCCTGGTCTAGTTACTGTGCACCAGGGATGCCCACTGACTAGCTGTGTTCTCTGCTCCCTTCCCTGGAAGGTTTCTTGCTCTTCCTAGGTAAAATGCTGCCAAATAAATGAAAGGGTTTTAAAATTTTTAGACATCATCTACATCTGCGCTGAAAAGATGGCACAGCAGTAAGAGTACTAGCAGCTCTTTCAGAGGACCAAGTTCAGCTCCCAGCACCTACATGGTAAATCATAACTGCCTGTAGCTCCATTTCCAGGGGGTCTTGTGGTCTCTTCTGGACCCTGTAGGCACCGGTACACATAAACTCACACAGGAATACACATATACACACTCAAAGAAAAATCAGTCAGTGGAGAGGCTAGATTTCTAGATCACTGGTCCCACTCACATCAGGAGTTGTAACCAGCTCTACAAAAGACATAAGTGGGCAATACGTCTGCCAGAGTGTGGAGGTTCAAGCCTGAGGAAACCCTCCAAACATATTGGATTATCAGATGACACCACACTATGCTACTCTGGAAGTTGAGAAATGACTGGAGAGGAGAAGGAAATGCAATGAGCAGGCGTGGGGGGCAGCAGCTTCCTGTGAAATTTTGTTGTGTAAACTCCAAGGTTTCTTTCTCCCTAATGGAAGACATTCTCATTTACCCCCAAGACTAGAAATGGAGAAATATAACAACGCAGAGACTGAGAACTGGGAAGATACAAAACCACAAACTGTTAGACTTTAAAGATGAAGCAAAGAAGGTCAGAGATAAGTTCCCCTGTGTACAACATGCCCTTTGGCCTGAGCCTTTAGGCACATGATGGAACATAGTCCTGATCTCCACAAGAGTAGGGATTACTGGCAGATCATTAACTAACTGCCCAGGAACAGAAGAAAACTCAGATCTCTGAAGTATTCCCTTTACTCGTTTCCCCTTAAGTTATCACCGATACGATAAGACAAGGCTATATGCTCAACTCTGAGAGTGTAGGAGCTCTTTGCTGTGAAAAAGGTGGCAGATGGGAATCCACAAAGCAGAAATAGATACTGGAGAAATTGTACTCAAAGGGCAGCCTGGACATGATTTGTTTAAAGATCAAAGTCTCATGAAGCATGCCAGTCCTTCTTCACAGTCTGGGCTGGGTGGTGAAAGCTTTGTCCCAGAGTTGGAGCCCAGAAGGAACACAGAGTTGTCTATGCTTGGAGTTGCTGCAAACAAGATCAAGAAGACCAATAAGCACAGACTCTTAGGCCCTCTTCTGGCCTGCAGGCATACACACAGACAGAATATTGTATACATAATAAATAAATAAATATTTTTTAAAAAAAAAAGATAGGAATGGCAGGACACACCTTTAATCCCAGCACTAGGGAGGCAGAGGCCAGCAGATCTTTGAGTTCAAGGCCAGCTAGTCTCTAGAGCGAGTACCAGGACAGCTAGAACTATACAGAGAAACCCTGTCTTCAAAATAATAATGATGATGATGATGATGATGATGATGATGATGATGACAATGATGAAAAGACCATTGTACCTTCACTATCCTACATAGAACACTTAAACCTTGCTCCTCAGTTGACTACTTTGGCTGCCTTGTGACAACTTAAACTCCATTTTATAACAGACATCCATCTTGATACCCACTAGCCTTTGGTCTCTGACTCCAGTCCCTATAAGATACATTCCCTATAAGATACTGAGTAACCCTGACTCAGTGACCCTCACCCAAAAATGATTACTTGTTATGATATGACTACTTGCTTACACAGATAACAAAAGATTGTTTTGAGTTGCCTTAAGCACTTGACAGAAAAGATCAATTTTTGTTTGCTTGAGTAGATTTTGAAGATCTTCTGGCTTTCACCTTTAAAAATCCTTCCCTCACCCCCCTTCTCATGGCAATCTCAATTTTGGCTCAGAGACTGTTTATCCTGCTAGCAGCAAATCAATAAATCTTTAATTATAATTAAATTGAGTTTATGGTCTTTTCCCAGAGGTCACAAACTCTTTAACATTTGGAGGACCCAGTGAGATCCCTGAGGGACCCCAGACTTAGGGCTAGAGGCCTGAATAGTCCACCAATTCCCAGTTCTCCCCTCTCTCACCTTGCCCCATGTCCACAGGAAGTAGCCAGACTTAAGCCGGTACCCCTTTATCCAAGGAGTCTAAAATATTTGGCTGAGGTGCTTCACCTCAATTCACTGGCACCCCTTTTATAAAGTCTGGATTGTTTGGCTGGGGGCTTCATCCCAGTTCCTGGGATAAGCTCCCTCCCCTTGGAGTTGCCTCAATCCAAACTCCACCTTCAAAAAGCCCACCAAACAGTAACCCCTCCTTAGGGAAGGTCAAGACTGCTCCCACAGGCTATTTAAACTGCCCCTCAGAGAATGAACATGTGGTCTCCGGGTTTCACCTGGTCTCCCCTTCTCTCTCTTCTCCTCTCCATGTTTTCCTGGGGCTACCTGGGAGTAAGATCATCTATTAAACATGGGCATTTTTTAATTATTTGTGTCAGCAGAGAGGTTTCCTGGCCAAAAGAGAAAATATTTAACATAAAGTTCAAAGTCTCTTCTGAGATTCCTGCAATCTCTTAACTGCAATCGCCTGTAAAAATCAAAATCAAAAACAGATCATATACTTCCAACATATAATAGCACAGGATATATATTACCATTCCAACACGTAGGGAAGGGAGCATAGTGAGAAAATACTGAACCAAAACAAGACCAAAAATCAGCTGGAGCAAACTCCAAACTCTGCATCTCCATGTCTTGTGTCAAACTGCTCTTCAGATCTCCAGCTCCTTCCAGCTTTGTTGACTGCAGCACACTTCTCTCTCTTGGGCTGTTAACAGTTCTCCTTGGCAGGTATCCCTTGGCAGGGCTCTGGAATTTCTAACATTTTAGGGTCTTCAAAGCAAACCAGGCTTCACCTTCACAACTTCACACAATGTCCCTAAGCCTCCATTCAGTGACACCCTAACACACACCTGGCCTCAGTTGCTTTCCTTTCTTCTGTCCTTAACTCCAGAACCACACGGCTGAAGCTGCCAAGTTCTGCTGCTTACTGGGACTGAAACATGGACCCTTTGTTCAGTTACATCTTCATCATCTTTCTATTTTTGGTCGTTTCCTTCACTTCCTAAACTTGGATGTCCTGAAACTCACTCTGTAGACCAGGCTGGTCTCACACTCAGAGATCTGACAGCCTCTCCCCTCCCAATGCTGGGATTAAAAGCCTGTGCCACCACCACTTTGCCTAAATTTTTCTTTAATTCCTTTGCAAAAGTTGGAAATTTAGCTGGGTGGGATTTTGCCCTGAGGTCACCACTCCCTTTACTCCATTTCTTAATCTGTTCATCTCCTTGAATACAGGTTTTAGCTCCATTCCACTTCCCTTTCTCCTCAAATTGTACACTTTTTTATTTTTACTTGCTCAGCTTTCTTCTTTTCATTAGAAATCTTCAATGGAGTTAACATTAATAATCACACAATAGAATCTATACTAGGCTGTTTTTGCTATGCCCAGATCACAGAGTCCCTCCAAAACCAACTAGGAAATGAAGTACTGTATATAAAAGCAAAAGGCCTTTATTCTTATACAAATTTGCAAATTTGAACTCTCTGTGTGTCCAACATATTGGCTGATCAGAGAGCCCCAAGATCAGTAGGGGTTTGTTTTTTTTTCTTTTTTTCATTTTGTTTTGTTTTGTTTTTCCAAGAGAAAGTTTCTCTGTAGCTTTGTTGCCTGTCCTGGAACTAACTCTTGTAGACCAGGCTGGCCTCAAACTCACAGAGATCCACCTGCCTCTGCCTCCTGAGTGCTGGGATTAAAGGCATGTGCCACCACCACCTGGCTGGGGTTTGGTTTTTACAATAGGAAAGGAAGGGGTGAGGGATTTCTAAGGTTCAGGATCCTTGATTGGCTGACACTTGTCTAGGGTGTCCTAGTGAAAAGTGATGGGTGTGTGCAGGCAGGTGATCCTGTCTACAATGGTGGGAACAATAGGAATTTCCTTTGGATGGTCTGTTCCTGGATGGTGCCTGGATGGTCTCAGTTTGTGGTCTTTCTTGGAACCAGGTAATTAGGGTAAACTACTAAGACTCTGGCCTCTATTGAGCTTGTCATGATTGGGTCTTACAGTTTTGAAATTTCCTCTGCCAATGGAATTAATCCAAATCTCTTCACTTTAGCCTCAGGCTAGAATTTTAGGATGAGAGCAAAAAGCAGCCACATTCTTTACCAAAATATCATGAGAACAATCTCCAGTCACATATTATATTCTTCTCCTCTGAAACCTCCTGAGTTCGTCAAATCATACTCAGCACCACTGTCTTCTTTGCTCCTCCTAGTCTGACTTATTAAGCAGCACTTAAAGCATTCAACTGTTTTTCTAATCCACAGTCCCAAGGCCCATATCCCTTCAAAGAAAAGCACGGTCAGGTCTAGTACAGCAATACCCCAACTCCTAGTACCAAATTCTGTCTTAGTTAGGGTTTCTATTATTGTGAAGAGACACCATGACCAGTACAACTCTTACAAAGGAAAAACATTTAATTGGGGTGGCTTACATTTTCAGAGGTTTAGTCAATTATCACCAGGTTGTGACATGGTGGCAATCAGGCAGATATGGTGCTGAAAGTGCTACATCTTGATCTACAGGCAACAGGAAGTGGTTTGAGTGTCACACTGAGCAAAACTTGAGCAAAAGAGACCTCAAAACCTACCCCCACAGTCACAGACTTTCTCCAACAAGGCCACATCTATTCCAACAAGGTCATACCTCCTAATGGTGCCACTCCCTATGAGTTTATGGGGGGCCAATTATATTCAAATCACCACAGCTGGAATATACCAAAAACCCATTTAAGATCTATAGCATATTTGTAAGATTGCAAATACAAATGCTTGAATGTTTGTTTTAACAAGTTTTAAATATCAAGGCACCGAACTTCATTTCTTCTCTCTTGCCACTAACTCGGCACCTTTTCCTCAACTGTTTAGTGGAAACCTGTTGGAAACCACAATCCCTCACAAGTATACTAATTCTGTGAGCATCAGCTATGCAATAGAGACTTGGTCTAGACTACAGGATTCCACAGGGAATGGAGTCGCTGCCTATAAGATGCTGACAGCTCACTCACCCGTTTTTCCGTCCCCGTCGGTATAGCAAGTGCTAGACAGGAGGATAGTGCTGGCTACTTCCACAGGACCACAGAAGTGATGCATAAAACTGAAATAAAGATGGGAAAGGACAAATTAGAGTGTTCTAGACACAGACGCCCAGGGGCTCAGCACAGTACAGAGCAGGGACATTTAAGGAAAAGTCATTTAGAGGAGGCTACAGCCCTAATAATGGAGTAGGGTAGGGAAGGCGTTTGCAAAGAAAAGGCTGAAGAGTGAGATCTCCTACATGGGGAATCAGACTGACTAGATGGAAATGCATTCTGGGGTAACAGAAAACCACTAAAAGGCTGTAATAACATAGAATACCATACAGACTACCTGTATTGTAGACAATGAGTTGGGGATGATAACATTAAACTGGAGGAGGGAAGGGATTCAGAGGCAAGCCTGGTGTGGTGATCTACAGAAAGAAACCCTAGTTTGGTAGTCGGAAGATGAAGAGAGACTGGACAAGTCCAGAGACAAGAGAGAGGTAGTATTGTCAAAACTGGATGATTGGGAGCCAGGCATAGGGCCATTAGCCTTTGATTCCAGCACTCAGGAAGCAGGGGCAAGCAGGTCTCTATGAGTTCAAGTTCAGCGTGGTCTACACAGGAATTCCAGGACAGCCAGGGCTACATAGAGAGACTTCATCACTAAACTAAACAAAACTAAACTAAACAAAACCTGAATGATTGGGGGCTAGTGAGGTAGTTCAATAGGGGGGGCACTTGCTACATAAACCTGTCAACCTGAGTTTGATCCTGGAACCCACATACATGTAGAAGAAGAGAACTAACTTTACAAGGTTGTCCTCTGATATCCACACACATGTTATGGCACAGATCATGTACACACATATTTGCACAATAATAATAGCTAGGCATAGTGGCACATACCTTTAATACCAGTACTGAAAAGGCCAATCTCTGTGAGTTTGAGATCAACTTGGTCTACATAGTGAGTTATAGGTAAGTCAAGGCTGCATAGTGAGATCATATCAAAAAAAGAAAGGAAGGAAGGAAAGAAGGAAGGAAGGAAGGAAGAAATACAGACATACAATAGTAACCCACTAACATTTTTTTTTAAAAACTCAATGACCAACTAGACAAGGTACTACTGGGAAAATAGAAAGTTACTAATGCCTTTGTTTAACTCCAGAGCTAAGTTTTACAGTGCTTCCCCAACCCCACCTTCCATGACTCAACCACAATTGCTGTACTTTCCAGGTCTATGTGCTCATGCTCCTGCTCACCTTATATAAATCACCATCCTGGCTCGACTTGCAGCTGTCTCTGGTTTCTGCTCAGAGGCAGACATTTTGTGTCCTGGCTTAATAATTCTCTTAAATGAGATGTTGCCACATAAGGTGATTCTGTGGTAAGTCTAACACTCTCAAAAAGCCTGGGAACTCTTTCATTGGTTCTGGAACTCATATAGGCTCTTCCAGTGCCCTGCTCACTCTTGGGGTCAGAGCCACAATGGGATCCTGTCCTTCACCTCTATTCCACCCAAGACAGACTCACCTTCTAACTCACCAACCACTTGACACCCCATCCACCACTGGCAATTAGGCAAGTCAACTACTCAGATATAAACATACTCCGAGAAAGTGACCCTTGAACATCAGCCACTCCTATGGTAGTCTTGGAGGTAGAGGTACCCCCAGCCACAGTCTTTAAGGCTATGGCTGGCTCTCTTCAACAACCTTGTTTCCAACATTTCCCTTGGGTGAGACCTTGGTCCTGGGCTTGGTCTTTTTGCCTTCTGCTTTTACTCAAAAGCCCTGATACTTTGGGCTATCTATCTCATTCCTGTTAAGTGTGGTTATAACCCACTAATAAGTTTGTCTTCTTTCAGTCCTCCAGACTCTTGGGGACACCCTTGGCTGTAAGCTACAAACTTCTCTCTTACCCATGGGAATACCTTCTGACTCCCCCTTGGAATGTCTCTTAGAAAACCTCTAGCCTCACCACCTAGCACTCAACCTAGAGGCTCCTAAATTTATTTGCTTTTGCAACCAAATCTGGCCTCAACACTCGCTGGATAACAGTCCAAATAGCCACCTAACAGCCTTAGATCCCAATGTTATTCAGGATCTTTACAGCTATTGTGATCAATAGTGGAAATGGAAAGATGTTATTGAAGATCAGACTTTCTCTTACCTCTGCTCTAAGCCTTCCCTCTGTGCTGGCTGCTAGCAAAAGCCCAAACCTCCAACCAACTCTCCCTCTACCACTGAGAATACAGACCTCAACCCACAGTCCCTACCTATCACCACTTCCATTGCCTTCATTTAGCTCTTCAGCCACCCTACCCACACCACTCCAGCCCCCCCCTCTTGACCTACTTTAGCCCTTGTCCGTCCCTTATGTAAGTGGCCAGAGCAATCACCCTAGTGAGGACTCATGTGCCTTTCTCTCTGAGCAGCCCCAATTAAAAAAAAAAAAAGATTGGGGTCCTACACAACCAACTCCTCTATTTTCATCAAAGAGTTCCAATACATCACCCAGTCTTACAACCTTATCTTCCATGACATCTATATGATTCTTATGAACAACCTTCTCCCTGAGAAATTCTGGTGAGTCTGGGAAGAGGCTAGAGCACATACAGAGGAGATCCACCAAACTAACACTGCCCACCTAACCTGGGTTGAGGTGGTCCCCTAGCTGGATCCCAATTAGAGCTATAACCACCTCAGGGGTATCCTAGCTAGAGATCAATTCATGACCTGACTCCTGGCGGGTCTCATTAAGGCTGCCCTTAAAGCACTAAACTATGAAAAAAAAACCAAGAGGTTGTCCAAGACAGACATGAAAACTGGTCTCAATTCCTGGAGTGTCTTACCAAGGCTCTCTTACGATATGCCAGTTAGGACCTCATCACCACAGATGGAAAACAGCTCCTCGTGAGCTACTTCTTTTCCCAGGGTTTCCCCAACATTAGGGTCAAACTTAGAAGTTTACAGAGGGGACCCCTAATTCCACAAGCAAGAAATACTGGCATTGGCCTTCCAAATGTACCATGGGAGAGATGAGAGAGCCGGAAAAAAATACCACATGCTGGTTAAAGCCTTCCAGCTGCCACAGTGTCTGCCTATGCTCCTTTGCCTCCCAAAGTCTGAGGACTGCTTGGACCCTGTTTCTAATGCAGTCAAGAGGGTCACTGGGCCTGGGCCTGCCCTAACCCTCACAAACACTCTATGTCCAAAGTGTCATCAAGAGGAATACTGGACTATCAACTGTCCCTGTGTTCCTTGCAGCACAGGGACATCAGGCCCAGACTGCCCTCTGGCTGTGCTGCAGGAGCTCCTTCCACTCCTTCAGCCAATAACCGTTGAGATACCAGCCCACTGGAGCATGGTCTCTTTCTCTTTAAAAAGCAGCAGCAGCCCTTCTCTGGCTCTCTTGCTTTAGACTCCAGTTCTGGCGACTAGACTCCTTTCCTGGTCATGTAGGACAGTGTTCTGTAAGTTTTTTTCCCCTCAAATAAATAACCTTTTTAATAATAAGTTCAAACTTGATGGAGGAGGGTCATCTGTCTATGTGTTACTTTCATTGGTTAATAAAGAAACTGCCTTGGCCTTTTGATAGGGCAGAAAATTAGGTGGGTGGAGTAGACAGAAGAGAGTGCTGGGAATAAGGGAAGTGAAGCAGATGCCATGGAGCCAGCCACCAGATCAGACATGCTGAATCTTTCCTGGTAAGCCACCACCTCGTGGTGCTACACACATTAATAGAAATGGGTTAATCAATATGTGAGTTAGCCAATAAGAGGCTAGAAGTAATGGGCCAGGCAGTGTTTAAATGAATACAATTTGTGTGTTGTTATTTTGGGTGTCAAGCTAACCATATGGGAGCTGGCCAGGACGAAAAGCAGGCCTGCTCACCTCCTCACTACACAAACTGGTATGGGATTGTTTTGCACATTGGGCTGACCTCCTAGGTCTGGGCAAGGATGACTGAGGGGACACAGGCTCTCTTGGCACTATCACTGCCATCTCTGACAGGGAGGCCGGGTAGTCATCATGGTTGGTATCAGGGTTACCCATCTCCTTCCTCTGGGATACCAGGGCTACATACTAAGTCCTAATGGGGATTCATGACCCACCTCTCTTTCTCGTTTCCCTGTTGTCAGGGTAGAGGGGATAGCCTTACAAACCTCTCCAAACCCACAACTCAGTCACATCTTTAAAGGTATCCCTCTTACTCATTCTCTCCTAGTGGTACCAGCATGTCCCATTGTCTTACTGGAAAGGGACCTTCTAGTTAAAGTGGGAGCTGCTATTTTCTTCACACCCCCAATTTGTTTGACCCCAGGCGAGCCAGTCATCCCCCTCCTCTCCAGGTCACACAAACCAACACACCATGTCCCTTACCAGTTTCTCAGGTAGGCCCCCAGGTCTGGGATACCCAAAACCTGTCTATAGCCAAACATCACCCCCCATCATCCGATTACAAAGTCCTACCTGGTACATCACCCTAACCCTATAACCACTCTTACTCCAAACTCTCAAGACACTTAATCCTCTTATCTCTGACCTCTTAAGAGAAACCCTTCTGCACCCATGTCTTCATCCTTTAGCATCCCTAGCCTTGAAGTTAAAATAACCAGCAGAACCTACTGCTTGAATCAGGATCTCTGACTCATCAGCTCTGCAGTGGTTCCTCTTCATTTCGTAGTGCCTAACATCCATATGCTCCTCTCCACCTTCTCCTTGGAAACCTCTCATTTCTGACTTGGACCTCAAAGATGTCTTCTTCTCCATCCCTCTCAATCCCCACATCTTTGCTTTACTTGGACTAATCTGGATACCCACCTCTCCACCCAGCTCACTTGTACCGTCCTATCCCAGGGGTTCTGGAACAGCTCACATCTATTTGCCAAGATTTACTCTCTTTGTCTCTCCCTAAACATAAATTTATATAATATGTAGATTGCCTTCTCCTCTGTAGTCCATTCCGACAAATTAGTCAAGCAGACACTCCAAATCTTCTAAACTTTCTGTCTAGCTAAGGCTATAGGGTTTCATTCTCTAAGGTCCAACTGTCCACCCCTCAAATTACC